TAGCGTTCTCTTCCCTCGGGGCATGTGGGGAGATAACAGTTCCACACATGTGCAGGCATCAAAGCCATATCACGCGGTTTAAGTAAGGGCTGGGGAGCAGGAGCGAAGGATCCAATTCCAGCACAGAAACACATTTACGCACCTGCTGCAGGCCAGAAGGCATTGTTGTGAAAGGGGAGCTACCACAAGTGGTCACTTCTGTTGATCTGGGTTTCCTACTGACTCTATGGAGCAGAACTTCCTGGCCAACCTGTGGTGGGCCGGCAGCATGTGTGAGGATAAACCTGGCCCCGTTTCAGTTATCTCTTGCTCAATAACAAAATCCAAGCCAAAATGTAGTAACTTAACAGCAATTTATATCTTCTCCAGGGACTTTCTCCAAAAGAATTAAGTGTCCCTCCTGACAGCACAGTGGCTGTGGCTCAGAGGGCAAGAGGCTGCCAGGCCTCTTAAGAACTATGTCTGAAACCAGTGCTTGCTGTTGGTCACAGCAAGTCATAAATCCAGCCAAATGCAAGGGCTGAGACGACCACACCTTGATGGGAGGTTCACCATGGACATACACAGAAGGGAGGTGTTACTGTCGTTCATCTTTGGATACAACTACCACATAAGATTAAGCCACTGAGATTTAGCTTAACTATAGCAGACACTAGCCTTTCCTGGGCAATATATTCTGCTCATATGTTTGTTTTATGAAATAATTGTATGATTCTCTGTTCAAGGAGATCCATGAAGTTGTATTGTACTTAACCTATTTCCACAATTCCCCAAGTAATGGTTGAACCATAGTCAGCAATTCATTAAAAACTTACTGGGTGAAAGAATGAATGTTTCAATTATAGAAACAAAGGAAATATAGCTTGAGAACAATAAATAGAAATAATGTGGTAGAATGATACTGATATACATATTGCTTGATTGCTAGTACTTTCTATAGGATATGAAAAATTGGATATTATCACAATAATATGAGTCAAATATTTGAGTCACAGAAAGCTAGAGAGACTATTCAAGATCAAATAACTGGGGAGTTACAGATATTAGCTCTGTGATGTAAAATTCAGTTCTTTAGTTAGACATTATTATAGTATTATACTGGAATTTGGGAAATTGTTTGAAAGTGAAAAGAAAATAAATTATATGAATATGTAAGAGTGAAGGTCAAGCAAAGATTTAAAGGGGGATAAACGTATTCAGGGGATGATAGCTTTATGTCATCAAGAAAAATATGAGTAGGTAGTAGATACAATGGGTAATCTCATTAGTTGAAATGGATATGTATGTTCGAGAGGATACAAAAACAAACAAACACTCAGAAGGAGCATTTAGATACGCATTTGTCTGTGTACAGAAAGCAGTGGCACAGATCATGAATTTTCTCTGCTAACTTCAGCATTAACAAATGAGCAGTGTATAGTATATTTTTAAAGAAGTAGTTATTTGTCAGTATTTTGGAGGCGTATGGAAGAACTGGGGAGCATGGTGGTGAAGGGCTCAGAAGGGAGAGGGAACACAGCTCACGGAACCCAGCTTGCTGTCCTTGACTCGGCTCTTCTTTTTACAATAATTGGACACTCCTCACATCAGTCTTAAACAGCAGCAAGACGTCCCCATTCTCCACATCAAAAGTCTGATGCTCCAAACCCACACCTCCTTTGCCCCATACTCAGTCTGGTTATGAACTCGGATTTCTCTGTATATCATGTTATTTGCAGATCTGCCCCACTGTCAGATGGAAAGAAAGTGTTGCAGTGAATTAGTATAGACGTTCTCAAACATTTGATCTCTGGACCCTTTTTATGTTCTTAAAAGTCGTCAGAGAGCTTTTGTGTATGTGGATTATAACTGTTGATATTTATAATATTGCAAAATAAAACTAAGACTTTAAAAAGATCTATTTATCACCCTAGCTGGTTTTGCTCAGTGGATAGAATGTCAGCCTTCAGACTAAAAGGTCCCAGGTCCAATTCCAGTCAAAGGCACATGCCCGGGTTATGGGCTCGATGCTCCATGTGGCACATGCAGGAGGCAGCTGATCAATGATTCTCTCTCATCATTGATGTTTCTATCTCTCTCTCCCTCTCCTTTCCTCTTTGAAATCAATAAAACTATATTTAAAAATAAAAAAATTGTTTATCAATGCACTTAAAATAAAAATAGTGATCCTAATATATGTTTATATAAATAACAATTAAAAATAGGTATGCATTTGATAACAAAAATAATTAGTGAGGTGAATTGCATTGTTTTACATTTTTACAAAACGTTGAATGACTGGCTTAATAAAAGGTAACTGTATTGTCTTATCAGCTTCTACATCAATTCTATTGTGACCTACTGGGTTCTGTTTGGTGGAAGTTTATGGAGTTTGTACAGTTATTTGACAATGGTGGCTGTAGCCCTACTGAGCTGGCCTTAGAAACTCTCAGGTTTTCATAGAACATTTTGAGAAATGATGTGTGTTGTGGGAGTTACATTCAAGTGTTTCACGGATGATTTAGTTTTTGTAGTTAAAACTCATCCTATATAATAAAAGGCTAATATGCAAATAGACTGAAAGGCGGAACAACCGGAACAACGGAGAAACTGAAGAACCAGTTGGTATGATGTGCGTTGACCACCAGGGAGTGGTGTGGAACATGGTGGGCGTTGGCTGTGGTGGGATTGTGGAGCAGGTGAGTGGGGGCGCCAGACCAAGGTGGTGTGCCAGTCGCTGTCATTGGGGTGAGCCTCTGGTGGTTTCTGAAAATTCTTTGCTCCCGCACACCATGGTCCCACCTGGCGCTCACACTTGTTGCTGGTGCCCGGCATCAGTCCCAATCACTTGGTGCCATCAGCAGGTGCGAGTGACGGCTGCTGGCCCTGATTTCCCCCGAGGGCTTCTCCATCTCCCCCTGCTCCTGAAGGGCAATTGGGGCAGCAGCCGCCACTGGTACCCGGTGATGGCGCGACAGCCCTACTCACACCTGCTACTGGTGCTGGCCCCAATTTCTCTGTGCTGTCAGTGGGTGTGAGCAGGGTCAGTGCCATCCGCACATGGGAGTGGCAGCAGCAGGAGTGGGGTTGCCAGCAGACAGGGGACCAGGGGCCACGACCCACCGCTGTGCCTACCACAGTGTCTCAGCCCACAGTTCCTTTCAATGTGCACGAATTAATGCACTGGGCCCCGAGTAGAAAATAAATAAGCAATATATGAAGATACACCTTGAAGTTTTAAGTTTTGGGATATATCCAGAATTTTCAGTTAAGAGAGGTCACTGGAAACAAATGAGTCATATGAAGTTTTTCAGAAGTGGAAGGAATTTAGCTGGATATTAGAAATTAGGTAGGACTTGGATTATCAAATGTGTTTGGAGCATCCCAATGGAAACAACATGGAAGTATAGCGATAGATTCTAGCAGTTCCAAGGCAACAAAAATACCTGCTTGCTTTCTGATGTCTATAAATCTTTATGTGTGTTCCAACTTCCATTTTTTTGAGGACTCCAGTGTGTCCATCACAATACATTTACACCACCACATGCTCTGTACATGACGTGTGAGGGAGCACAGATAGTCCTTTCTATCCAAATGGAGAGTCTGGCTGCCTCTTGTGTCCATCCTGGGCTGTGGGAGGGTGGAGCTGGAACATGTGAGGGATGACTGCTCTTCCTCAGGCTGTATAACTCCAGACAACTGGGGACTATTATGTGACAGCCAGACGCACCAACAACTCAGTTCAACATTCAAATTCTAACATTGTCACCAACCCCCTCTCTAGCTCCCAAATCAAGCCACAGCCCTCTAAGAGCTCCCAGCATGGTCATTTCTAAAATAAGTAAATGTCAAGTAATTTCTATCATGAATAGGCATTCTAAAAAGGCAACTGGTGTCATTGAATAATTTACTCTCCTAATAATAATGATAATAATAATAATAATAATACAGAAACAATTTATTCCTCCTTGCATTTATATATGTTGAGGCTGCCCTTGGTTGGGGAAGTGCTTGGTTTATGCCCTTTAGAATACAAGCCCAGTCTCCATTGGCCTAGAATGAGCAACTGATCCCCACAATTCCACACTTGAGAGAGGACACAGTTTGCTCCTGAGGTGGTGCTGAGATTGGAGTTGAGGGCACTGGTAGGGTTGCAAGGGAAGTGGGCAATCCCAGTAGCAGGAAGAATTGGTGGGGAGGAAGCGGGTAAAGGACTTATTTATCAGTCAGTCCTGTACCCAAATTGGGACCAAAAGAAGCACAGCTCATGCAGAACTGTAGGTCACAAGTTACAGAGAAGCCTGACTTACTGGTCACAGTCATATGAAGAACGGATATTTTTGGAGATTTGTGACCAGTAAACCATTCATTTAAGCATAGTTTCATATTATCCACAGAGCACTCCTGTGAAGTAACTTTGCTTCAGCATTATTTCTTATATTAATACAGAGGACACAAAAATCCAGAGAGAATTAAGCCTTATAAGAAATTATTTACCTATTTTCTTTTTAAATTTTTACTATTTTGGGGGGTAATAATGCTTAATAAAATTATATATACCATTGTCTCTATATTGTACTCGGTGTTCCCAATGAAAAAATCAAGTCTCCTTCTGTCACCATTTATCCACACTTTACCCTCTTCTACCTTCCACCCACCCCATTTTCCTCTGGCAAACAACATACTGTTGTATCTGTGTGTTTTTTGTTTTCGTTTTTTGCTTAATCCCTTCATCTTTTTCACCAAGCCACCTAACCTACCCCGTTTCTCTGTCAGCTGACATACTGTTCTCTGTACCTGAATCTTTTTCTATTTGTTAGTTTATTTTGTTCAATAGGTTCCCCATATAAGTGAAATCATATGGTATTTGTTTTTCTCTGACTGGCTTATTTCTCTTAGAATAATATTCTCCAGGTTTACCCATGCTGCTCCAAAAGGTAAGAGATCCTTCGTTATATGACCCAGCAGTATGTCATGGTGTAAATGTACCATAGCTTGTAGTATAGTTTAATATAAGGTAGTATGATACCTCCAAATTTGTTACTCTTTCTCAAGATGGCTGTGGCTACTCGGGCATCTTTTCTGGTTCCATATAAATTTTTGGAATATTTGTTAGAATTCTGTGAAATATTTCATTGGTATCTTTTTTTTTAATTTTATTTTTTATTACAAAGGGTATTACATATGTGTCCATTTTTTCCCCCCGCCCTAGACAGTCCCCTAGCCTCCCCTATTCCCCAGTGTCTTATGTCCATTGGTTATGCTTATATGCATGCATACAAGTCCTTTGGTTGATCTCTTACCCCCCTACCTCCCGCCCCTGAACCCTCCCCAGCCTTCCCGATGCAGTTTGACACTCTGTTTTACATTGAACCTATAGATTGCTTTGGTTAATACAGATATTTTAATAATGTTAATCCTTCCTGTCCATGAACACGATATATGCTGCCAGCCCTTGGTATATTTTGCAATTTATTTTTTCAGTTTCTTATAATTTTAGAAGTACAGGTCTATTACTTGGTTAAATTTATTCCTAGTTGTTTTATTTGCTTTGATGCAATTGTAAGAGAGGTGTTTTGTTTTGTTGTTTTTTTCCTTCAGTTTCCCTTTCTGATCATTATTGGTACATAAAAATGCAACTGATTTCTGGATATTTATTTATTTTGTATCCTGCTACTTTACTGAACTAAGTTATCAGTTCTGTTTTTTGGGGTGGATTTATGTTGAAATATGATTTCTTTATTCCCACTTTGCTGAGAGTTTCTATCATAAATGGTGTTGGTTTTTATGAAATGCTTTTTCTACATCTGTTCATGTATGTAATTTTTATCTTTCATTTTGGTTATGTGGTGTATCATGCCCATTGATTTGCAAATATTGGACCAACCTTGTATCCCCAGAATAAATCCCACTTGATTATGGAGTATCATCTTTTTAATATTTTGCTGGATCCAGTTTGCTAATATTTTGTTGAGGATTTTAGCATCTATGTTCATCATGGTTATTGGCCTATAATTTTCTTTCTTTGTAGTGTCTATAACCTGGTTTTGAAATTAGAATAATGTTGGCCTCCTAAAATAAGCTTTGGAGTATTTTCTCATTTTGAATTTTTTGGAATATTTTTAATATTTTTGGAATCTTGTTTGCGTTCTGAGAAGAATAGGTGTTAGTTCTTTAAATATTTGATAAATTCACCTATGAAGCCGTCTGGTTCAGGATTTTTGTTTGGTTTTGATAACTGCTTCAATGTCATTAGTTTTATCAGTCTACTCTGATTTTCTTATTCTTCCTCCTTTTAGAAGATTGTATGTTTCTGGGAATTTATTCATTTCACTTAGATTGTCCAAGTTATTGGCAAATAGTTGTTTATAAAATTTTCTCATAATCCTTTGTATAACTGTGGTGTCAGTTGTCACTTCTCTTTTATTTCTGATTTATTTTGGGGGACCTCCTCCCTCATTTTTTTCTTGATGAATCTCATTAAATATTTGTTAACCTTGTTTATCTTTTTAAGGAACCAACACTTGGTTTCAATAATATTTTGTATTGTTTTTAGACTCAATTTTTTTTCTGCTCAAACATTTATTATTGTCTTTCTTCTACTCACTTTGGCCTTTGTTTATTGTTCTTTTTCATGCTTCTTTAAGTGTCAAGTTAGATTGTTTATTTGAAATTTTTCTTCTTCCTTGAGATCAGCCTGTAATGGTATGAAATTTCCCTTTTAAGACTGCTTTTTATATTGTATTACTGTCAATTTCTCCCTTTATATCTATCAAGATTTGCTGTATATAATTAAGTGCTTTTATGTTGTGCGCATACCGTATTTGCCGGCGTATAAGACGATTTTTTGGCCCTGAAAAATATGCCTCCAAGTGGGGGGTCGTCTTATACGCCAGGTACACTTCAGATAGACTGCCCATAGTGCTTGCCCCGTGCCATAGTGGCCTCCCGATGCCCGCCCACTTCATTCCACATACCGTTCAGGCATCAGCAGCGCTGCTGGGTGTATGCTCGGCTGTTATGCGATTTT